TGTTCAAGTCCCCCTATCATGATGAATGAAAACAATCTGCGTGTTGATGGAATGTACTTTCTTTCTATTGACGAACACGTCCTCATCTTTTGATGGCGCAATTATTTTTATGTGCGTCCCGTCAATAGCACCGACCACACCGGCCAAACCTGCATTGCCATGAAGTTGGCTTTGATCCTGTGTAGTTGTTGATTGTCCAAAGGAAACCGGATAAACTTTGGATGATATGTGGTCTAGAGAGCGCGTTGATGGTTTGGTTTATGGCACGGCTGACTGATGGTTGCGATATTCCTAAATCGTCGGCATTGCAAAGTTGCATTTTCCCACATTGCTAAATATCGTAGTGTTGCCAAACATTTTATTTCCGGGCTAATCGGGTTATTCCTGTTAGTCGGGGATGTTATTGCATCCCGCACTAATTCCACAACAAGTTTGATACCCTCACGATTTAGCCTATATCTCTTGATCAATTCACAGTCTTCCATTGTCTCCAAAACATTTCGTCTCGCAGCCATTTTCAGATTCTTTGTGAATAGGTATTACTGAGTTAGGAGTCCTCTCGAGGACTTTTAAGCTCTCCTAAACTTAGGTGCTACTTTTAGGCCTAAAATACTTTGTGAATTGCTCTTAGTGAATAAAATTAGGAGTCCTAAATTTAAGACTGACACGCCCATTATGTTTAGGAGTTTCTCCTAAATTTGCCAGTTAGGAGCTACTTTTAGCCCTAAGATCCTTTGTGATTCTTTGTGAATATGACATTTTGTCAATGCCTCCTCAGAAGTAGCCAACATGGTGTCGTGCTACTGCAGTTCAGCGTCTCTCTGTGTGTGTCCCACAGCAGGAGTGGATCAACATGACAGGTTTCCTGTGTGCTCTGGGTGGCGTGTGCCTCCAGCAGCGCAGCACCCCCGGCCCGGCCACCTACAGCCCCCCCATGGGCCCCATGAGTGAGCGCAAACACTCCATGATCTCGATGGGCCCCTGCGACGTCTACAACCCCGTGGTCTCCGTCTCCTCCTGCTCCTCGTCGGCCTCCAGCGAGTCGCCCGTCAGCCGCTTCGTGGACCGGCTGCTGGCCCTGCTGGTGTGTGGCCACGACAGGGTGGGCCTCCACGTGCGCACCAATGTGAAGGACCTGCTGGGGCTGGAGCTCAGCCCTGCCCTCTACCCCATGCTCTTCAACAAGCTGAGGAACAGCATCGGGAAGTTCTTCGACACACAGGGGCCGGTGAGTGGAGCTACGGCAACGCTCAGAATGTTGGAACGATATAAGATTGTCTTGTAGATTACAGAACATTTAAATTGGTGAGTGTTTTAGACGTTGTTTGTCTGTTGGAGCAATAAATAAGAAATAATCCATACAAATTTGGTTTTCTTAAGCTGAAATGAAGGACTATGTTGGAGATGTGCTCATGTCGCTATTAAACTTAGAAACCCAGATTTTAATTCATGACTATTCCAAATGTTTACTCATACTTGGTTTCTTGTGCCATATTTTTCTTCCACCCTTCCCGAGGTCAATTTTCGATGTTTTTATATGTATCGTAAATAGTTTGTTCACATGAAATGTACACCTGTTTGGTTTCTCCTGTTTCCAGGTTCCTATCAATGACACTAACACCCAGTTTGTGGAGCAGACCATAGCCATCATGAAGAACCTGTTGGATAACCACACGGAGGGCAGCTCCGAACACCTGGGGCAGGCCAGCATCGAGACCATGATGCTCAACCTGGTCAGGTCAGTACTTCCTGCAGGGAAACGTCCTAAGTGATGTTTGCAGAGAGTGAGCTAACATGGCGGAAGCACATTAGCATCGTGTTGTGACTGAAAGACGTGACGCGTTGCTATGAGGTGTATTGACCTGCCCACCATCCCTCAGGTATGTGCGCATCCTGGGCAACGTGGTCCATGCCATCCAGATCAAAACCAAACTGTGCCAGCTGGTGGAGGTGATGATGGAGAGGAGGGATGACCTGTCCTTCTGCCAGGAGATGAAGTTCAGGTCAGTGACAAGGATGGACTTTTAGTTAAAAACGCTGACAATTGAAGTTTCAAGGCCCCTTTCTTACATATCAGACCTTCAAAACTCTGAGCAGAATATAGACACATTTGAATAAACAAATTCAAAGGGTAAGAAAGGGAAAACCTCAAACTAACTTTAAGGTATTGCTGTCTCTCACATTTGAGTGCACAAGTGTGTCCCAATGTTAAGTATGGCAGAACGAGGTGCACTATGATTACCTTGATCGTGCTTCGATAATGGTCAAAAAGAGCACACAACGCTGGATGCTGCTGAAGTTGACGCGTAAAAGTTATACATTCTTTTTCGCTCTTTATGTAACATCCCATTATGCTGGTGTCAAAGAAAAGCCACTGTTAGTTTTTTAGGGACAATGAGCAGTCTGTTATGATGTGGAACAGCAAATTATTGTTCCCGGCTAGCTAGCTAGCTAAGGGGCGCTCACATGTAGTAAACCTGAGCACACCTTGGCACATACTGGACCGTTTGTTAACCTCGGAGTGGTGTTTGAATGAACCATTTCAGTAGCGTACTCCGAGCAGCAGAGCAGAGCACACTTGCAATGTGTTAAGTTATTTTGTAGCTATACAATTAAAATAAATATATAGCTAGCTAACTAGCTTAGAAAAGGGCTTCACAATTCTGGAAAAAATAACAATATATGATCATCATATTAATCAATTTTTATTTGAATATTGTCCAAATTTCAATAAAAATGTCAGTTACTTGTCTTACCTTTAATTTCCCTAACTCCTAACATTAGCTTTGGCATTTAGTTAAAGACCAAGTCTCATCATATTCATCTCTCAGGTTGGATGAACAAACACCCTTTTTAGTTCCCCATTGTCAGGAAGGAAGGTTCACTGAAGCTGTTGTCTGTTGTCTGCAGGAACAAGATGGTGGAGTATCTGACGGACTGGGTGATGGGAACATCCAACCAAGCTGCTGATGACGACATCAAGTGTCTGACGAGGTGCAGCTCTGTTCCAACTCATCTAATGCAATGTCCAACTGAGAGAACTCCTTTGAACTATTTGATCTTCTGTCTGTGTAATGTACAGGGACCTGGACCAGGCCAGTATGGAGGCAGTCGTGTCTCTGTTGGCGGGTCTTCCTCTTCAGCCAGAGGAGGGAGACGGAGTAGAACTGATGGAGGCCAAATCTCAGCTCTTCCTCAAGTGAGAACACACCTGCCACCAACCTACTCTGAGGCTCGGTCATACATTTACGTGTTTATTTAACATGTGTCTTGATACAAATAAGAAAAACTGAATATTGGAAAGAAATTGGAGGATTTTTTCATCTAAAGAAATAGGCAGGACATCCCATCAAATGAAGATCAAACATGATGCACATGGGACACAATAGGGTGAAACAAACAAACAACTCCAACATTCATTGTTTACATAACGTACTGGCAAGACGTTGGCATCATGAAAGTGTCATCATTTTAACTGGAACATGTACAAAATTATCGAATATGCAACCAATTTTTCCCGCATATATATAAAAGTGCTTTGAGGGGTCAGAAGACTAGAAAAGCGCTATTTAAATGCAGCCCATTTAACATTTAAAAATGTTGAATATGTAGAAGAAAAGGAAGAATTAGCCCTGTGGAGTTGCGTAACCTACATGGGCAAGCCTTTCCTATAATATGCTGTGGTTTGTGTGCAGGTACTTCACCCTGTTCATGAACCTGCTGAACGACTGCAGCGAGGTGGAGGACGAGGGCCAGGCAGTGGGGGGCCGAAAGAGAGGAATGTCCCGCCGCCTGGCCTCGCTCCGCCACTGCACCGTCCTGGCCATGTCCAACCTGCTCAACGCTAACGTGGACAGTGGTCTCATGCACTCCATCGGTAAGGCGGACTCAACATTACCCATCGTAGCATTATGAATAATGGAGCTTTCTACAAACCAACAGATTTGTTCTTCACTCCCCCCTCCTCAGGTCTGGGCTACCACAAGGACCTGCAGACTCGAGCCACCTTCATGGAGGTGCTGACCAAGATCCTGCAGCAGGGCACGGAGTTCGACACGCTGGCGGAGACGGTGCTGGCCGACCGCTTCGAGAGGCTGGTGGAGCTGGTCACCATGATGGGAGACCAGGGAGAGCTGCCCATCGCCATGGCGTTGGCTAACGTGGTCCCGGGGTCTCAGTGGGTGTGTACCTCGTCTAACGTCTTGTATATTGTATGAACAGTTATCCATGAAAAGTTGATCAGCATTGACGAATGTGTTTGTGTCTCCAGGATGAGCTGGCCCGCGTGCTGGTGACGCTGTTCGACTCGCGCCACCTCCTCTACCAGCTGCTGTGGAACATGTTCTCCAAAGAGGTGGAGCTGGCCGACTCCATGCAGACGCTTTTCAGAGGAAACAGCCTGGCCAGCAAGATAATGACCTTTTGTTTCAAGGTAGGAAGCATAACACAACCCTGCCATGAAGTAAACATGTTAATGTTTGCTTGACCGATTACATCGTAGTTGAATATTACCCAACATTAACATTATTATTATTTACAACATGTGATAGTGCTTATGGCCAGAAATAGTAAACTACGGTATCCTGGTAAGATGCTGGAAGTCTGCATGTTTTGATCCCAACAAGCAGTTGACCGTGTAAAAATGTTGACGTGTTTTAGTTATTAAATGCAGTGTTGTAGCAGATATTACTTTGTGAATCACAACGTTGGTAATGGACTGTTATGGATGTCATTTGAATGGAAAACACCTGCCGTGATGCTGTAATTTACTTTCTCTAAACCCATGTTTAGGTACATACAGTAAGGTCTTCACAAAAGGTCTGGAGGTTTATGGAATGCAAATCAGGTCCAAGTCATCCTTGCAGAAAGAGGCCTTGAGGTGTTTCTGAAGTCCCGCTCAGCTGCAACGATAGCTGCTGCACAAACGGTCCTCAGGACACCTTTTCCGGGAGAATTAGCAGCCACAGTTCCACTTGTGCAGACAATTTCTCAAGAAAGTCTCCACTGTTTAGCAAACTTCTCGTATATTAGAATTCAATATTTATTTGTTTGCTTCATACTGCTGTAAAGAGACCAGATGAATGAATCCAGTGTTGCTTGGTAGGCTTCAGTGAATACAGCTTGGTGAAATATACCTGACGATGTCGTGAATCCAGATTGCAATGAAGGGTCAGTGGTTCGTTCCCCAGTTCTTGCAGTCAACAAGTCAGAGGCTGCATTTCACTTCGGTTAAATGGAATCCTTGCGTCCATCACTTGCGTAGTTTCCCTGCAACTAGTCCCTCCCACCAGGGAAGCATGGAGAGACGCAAAGAAACCATGTGAAGCAGGG